TTACCAGTATGCATATGGATATTAATAAAATGCTATCAATCATCTCTCAGCATTTCTACATTAGCCTAAGCTTGCATCAATGCTTACAGCATTTTACAGTTGTGCAGATGATTTTTTAATCACTAAAACACTACACAAAACAATCTAGAAACTTTGTACCTTCACACTAATTGTCTTTAAACAAAAATCTGCTCACACACATTGGGCACATGTTGATATAGGCATCTCATACATGGGTTGAAATGATATAGATGAGCTCTAGATGGCAGTAAAAATCCAGAGTTTCCTGTATATTTCTGTGGAATCTGCAGAAGTTTAGATTTTTTTGGAACCCAAGTATGGTGTATCTAAAATGAATAATATTAATTAATTTCATAATCATTTTTACAGTGGAAATGTGTTTATGAATAGCATGATATTGGGGAAAATAAAAGTTCTGGCAAATTGCACATAGACAATTTTTTGCACACTCGGTTCAAGAATAATAATACAATAAAGAATTCCAATATTTTATTATGCTTGGAAACAAGGTTTAGTTAATCAAGAATATGCACTCTTAGAAGAAATTCAGTTCATTTCTACGAGTGAAGAACAATCAGGATTCAAGTATAATGCAAGCATGATTTGTAGCTACATTTCTTCTTGGCATATTTGCAGACAAAGAACAATATTCAAAAGAAGAATATTTCAACACATCAAATATAAAACAATGAACCCCCCCCCAAACTCATATTAAAAAGCTGGAAGCAATAATAGTGTAAGAAAGACCCCAGGAGGGGTTTCTGGAAGCCTTGGCTTTTGTTAACAATTTGATTCCCAGTAGAAAGATAATCTGCCCAGACAAACATGATGACCTCCTGCCCAAGGTTAAGATTAAGATTTAACAATTGGTGTTATGTGTCCTAACTTCTATTTATTATACAGACAGCATTATAACAATACATATAAAACAGATTTGACTTCCACTATACCTGGGAACATATAGAGTGATATTCCTAGAGATACCAGTTGTTGCCTTTAAGGGTAATTTGGTGATTTGGTCAAAGGTGAAGAATTTCCTATGTTAAATGTTATAAAAGTGACTGGGAATGGAGCAAGGAGGTTATCATTAAGCTGTAATGGATCATTGAGCTGTTGTATCTGTTTGGGGATTGAAGTCTTGGATACTCCACTGAAGCGTAAGGAAGGCTCCAGCTAATGCTGGGAAAGTAAAATCTCAGTAAACTAGATCAAGACATTTTAGGGAAGATTCTATTTAGAAAGGTGAGGTGGACCCTCCAAAATTTGCTTCAGTCAGTATCAGATGACTCTGAAGGAGATGCAACCTGATATAGGAGTTAAGCTGAATATAGGAGTTAAGCATGGAATAAGGAACCTGTGTTTTAGACTTTAAGAACTTCTGGTTTAACATTTTTATTGGATTATAAGATAAAATAAGATACAAAATACAAAAGTAAATAGGAAAACTGTGGGGAGGAAGAGGGGTAAGAGAAGTAAAGAAGGATAAGAAAAAAAGAAAAAGAAACATTGACTTCCGACACCCTCTGTTGCAGTAAAATAAGGCATTAACTTCAAATCACATTTTATGTTAGTCAACATCATTATGTTTTTTCATAATAATATGAACAAACCATTTCTATAAAGATAGCCTTTAAGAATTTCTAACTTAGAAACTTCTTTATAAATCTATAACATGATTCCATATAGCACTGATGCAAATATTTTGTTGTGGTGGCAGTGTTGTAGCTAATAAGATTAATCTGTGACATGATGATTACTAACTGAAAACTTTTCCCAGTACTCTACTATGATCATTTTCAAATATAATTGGCAATGGTAATTTTTGACAGTCCCTCTGGCTAGTGTCCATTTTGCTGTTTAGAAAGGTATGTAGAGCAGCAACAGGAGAAATGAGAATATTTCCCATGTCTTTTGCATCTTTCACATTCTGTTAACCCTTCAAAGTAGTCCAGATTGCAACCAGGACTACTAAGTGTATCTTTATTGTACTGCTACATTAACAAAAAAACTTGCAATGCTGAAACTCCCTTCCTCTCCTTTTACTATCCAGAAAACCAGAGAGGGTGCTTTCTGAAATACTTCCCACATTCTCTTTATTTGTGGGTTATACAAATCAATTTTACAAATTGAAAATCTCCTGGAAATACTTTTACTTCTTTTAGCAGGCTTGGGCACAAGCTTCACCTCATTAATTTCTGAAGCCCTCTTTTTGTGCTCCAGCTATGGAGCCAAAATATTTCTGCATGATTTCTTTTTAGGTCACTCATGTAAGTGGGAAAATGATGTGTCACCTTTGAAAGTTTAATTGAGCATGACTGAGCAGTTTTTACCAATTTAATGATAATATGTAATGGAATCATTAGGGTTTGAAGTAGTGCAATAGATTTGCAATTTTCAGTTTAAAAAGAACAAGAAAAATGTACCTGTTATGTACAATAATAATCTATTTATATTGCTCACATAACTTTAACCTGAACCCCAAATAGTAGCACATTAAACAAGTAGTTTCAATAGATATACATATAAAAAAAGACAAAAGTAAACATTCTTAAAATTTGCCATGCCTGGATGTTCCTCCACAGGAATGCCTGTTTTGGAGTACAGTCTTGATACATTAAAGTAAATATAAGGACTATTAATATGTAGTTCAATATATATTTTTCAAAAATAAGTGTTTAATATTGCATCCTGTCATCTGATTCTATCACATAACAACTGTATAGTTGTTTACACTGGTTTCTATTAGCAATGATGTCTACAATTTATCTCCAGAGAGAAGTGTAAACACCACATAGTACAATGACACAGTTGGAAGGGACCTTGGAGGTCATCTAGTCCAAACCCCCTACTCACGCAGGAGATCTATACTAGGGATTCAAACCACCAACTTTTCTGATTGACAAGCTCAGTGTCTTAGCCACTGAGCCACCTAGGGAGCCGCCTTATAACACTATCACACTAAACAGTAAATACCTCACACTAAACAGCATAATCCTTATTTGGATGCAGCAGTGCCTAAACCATAAGAATTGTCATTCCAAGAAGGGCTGCGGGAGAGTCAGCATAAGTGCAAAAATTCCAGCAGGGTTGCGTACAGACAGAGCATTTTAACAGTGGAAAAAAGAAAGAAAATTGAAAATGTCTCATCACCTCATACAGGGAATAAAATTGAATCTCTTTCATGGCTCAGCTTGGAAAATATTTGTACAGGTTATTATCATTAAAATTAAAAATAAATTTAAAACATGAGAAAAAAATCTCAAATCATGCTTAATTTCAGATTTTAACAGATGACTTTCAAAGGTTCCATATTTCTTAACTGAATTTGAGCTGAATCTTTGAGGGTTATAAAACCATAAACAAATAGATGAGGATTCTTTGAAGAACATCACTGAGTAGGTGATCAGCCCGTCGTTTGACTTGCTGATAAATCATAAAATATAGATGCTTCAGAATTCCTACTGAGGCAATAAATCATGGATTGTTTGACTATAGTAGCAACATCATTATATGGAAGGCATCCAAATCCCCACTCGATTTTTTTGATTTGTGTGATTATTTCTCTTACAGTGGTTACTGAAATTTGACACCAGAAAGGATGCACAGGTCATGAAGCTCAGCTTCATAATTAAGATAGAGGTGAACAGCAAGAGTATTAAAAATACATAAAATGTGTGTATTAGGGAAAGGTTTGCACAGGAAAGAAAAAATGAAAGAAAAATGCTTTTTCTAAGCATGCATGCTACAAAAACTGCATATGAAGTAAACATATATGGGCAAATACTCATAAAAAGTACAAGTTTTTGTGAAGATTTCCCCATCCAAACTCAGATGCTTTGCAACTGACTCATATTTATGAGAGTTGTAGTGTTCTGGGATCATGTGATCACCTTTTGCCACCTTCTGACAAGTTGGCCGGGAAGCCAGATTCATTTAACAACTGTGCTACTAACTTAACAACTACAGTGATTCTCTTAACAACTGTGGCAAAAAAGGTTGTAAAACAGGACAAAATACACTTTTTACATTATTATCCGCACCACTGCATTGTGGATCAGCTGTAGCCATTGCTATAGGACCATTACTGACTACCTGAAGAGCTTCCTGGTTCAGGGACAAATACAGTTGGTACAACAGATAGATTGTGCAAGAATCTTCCTGCCCCTTGCTGCCACCTATCCTGAACAGGAACTGTGAGTCTTAAGGGGAAAAAAAAAAAATCTGAATTGGGAATATCCGCAGTCAATAATTTTGCTAGGATTAAATCTGAACTCATTTCTCCCTATACAGAGCCGTATAGCCTCCTGAAGGCAGAAGACTTTGCCAGAGACATGCAAGGACTGTTACCTAGGAAAAAGTGGCTGAAGCATAATTTCTTGGTCTGGGCTATCTAGTGGGGTTGACATCTCCAGACACTAGGACATTGGCAGTGTGTTTTGGTCAGCCTATAATCACATGTACAGTCAAGTATCATTTGTATTCATGGTTGATCTTGTCCAGTTTCCTCAGATAGATATTAGAATGAGAAGATTGAGCTGCAGACACCTCACAAATGAGGCCTTGGACCTGATTGTTAAACCAACTGGAACCGGCTACAAAGAAAGGAGAATCTTTACAAAGTACTTCCCTCCCCACTCTAACATCCTTGGAGGCAGTCCAGAAGAACATAATGATAAATATCAAAAGATCCTGACAAATCAAGGAGAAGCTGGACAATACTATCATTCCTATCTCATGATTAATGCTGTCTCCATGCTATGCTCTGATGTGAAACTTGAGTGTCAGGGTCTGAAAGGACATCAAATTGATGACCTAAATTAAGGGTGCTGAGAAGATAAATGGTTGCAGTATGCTACTTGTATTGCTATTTTTCTAAGCTGCTTGTACTGCAATGCCCTTTTGTGCCAACGTTCTTGCTCTATTGTTTTCATCACCAAGATTCTATCTATGTTTCACCAAAGTTCTCTAAAGATGAGGTTAAACAGAAGTGACTTCATACAAGATGTTTAAGAAAGTTGTGTCTTCTTTTCACACTGTGACTTACAAAGTGTTATACATGAGAATATAATGATAAATTGCAGAATTAATCTAATCTGATGTTGCAGCATATCTTTGTAAGTAAAATGGAGTACCAGTTTGGGTTGCTCATCTACTTCAGGGGGAATGTTTTGAGTGATAACACCAGAGTAATTTATTTTAGTTTATGTATAGAATAAAATGCCGAAGTTCATGTTTATCTATTTTTCAATACACAATACACAGTTAAAAATTTGGATCGGGTGGGGAAAAGCTACAGGTTCCATGTGAATGTTGACACAAGCAAACCATTAATATGGACTTGATAATTAATACCTTATTTATTATAGTTCTATTATGTTTAGCAAGTATCATCTATTTTATAGGAAACAAGAGAATTCACACATCTAGGGATTAAAGTGTACAGTATCCTGCAGTACTTTGTATGATCAGAATATTCTAATCTGAGGAATACATAAATTGGGAAATAGTACATACTCAGCTGAGAAATTGGTAGGAGAACAAAGATTACAGCAACCCTCCTCACCATATGAACCTACTCAGCAGCTAGTCTCATGATCTTTAGAGCAGGGCCTTGTGTTAATCTCCAACTCTTGACTTCACATGGCTTCATTTGACTGCTTGGCTCAATCTGACTTCATTCAGATTGGTCTCCTTAAATAAATATGGTCTCCTTAAATAAAAATCCTTACTGCAGATAGAATGAGACCACATTAAATAGTATTCCCTTTTAAAGAGCCCTATTTTTCTCGTACAACTAAGATCAGGGAAGAAGTCAAGTGAAGTGCCCTATGGAAGACAGGTGGTAGCAGAACTCATTATAAACCAGCAGCATCAGAGTAGAAATAGGTTAAATCCAATGGGCTTCCTGGAGAAGAGACATGAAACCTCCAGCCTTTCATCCTCTGGGCACAGTTGGACCACTAAACTCTAATTTTATTAGAGATCTGATCTGGTTTAGCTAGATAAAATACTTTATTACAATTAGACTGAAACTACATTTAATTGAACAATGGTCTAAACCATTGGTGTCAAACTCGATTGTGTCATGTGACATATCGTAATGTATCATGACATTTTTTGCCTTTGCAGAGCTGGGGTGGGCATGGCCTGTGCATGATGCATCCGGCCTGCGGACGCTAGTTTGACAGGTCTGGTCTAAACAAAGAGGGGAAAAAAACAGAATGTGCAATGTTATTTTGATGAATACAAAACATAAAATAAGTAAATAAAAAGTCAAGGGCCCTGTTAATAACAACAATAAAATCCACAAGTTGTTCATAATTTCCATATGTCAGAAGAATGGATAAAGTTACACCTGCTGTCATTAACAAAACAATAAATTCTGTCAAACTTGATAAAAATATGATTCTTGCTCAGTTATCGAAGTTATTCTAAGATGTTTTTTTTGTAACAAAGCAATTGAAAACACCTTTTTAAAATCCTCAAATAAATGGTTAAGTTTTCAAAACATTTTCAACTTTGAGTATTAATTAATTTGGCTTCCCAAAGTAAATAGACAATCAGCTCTTTATTTTTAAATGAGGCATTAGATCATATAAATTGATTTAACAATCCTAGCTTTGGAGAATATCTGACTCATAATTTGTAGTCATTCTAATATCTCTTATAACATTGTGCCAGAAGAGGACTACCTGATCCCTTCTGTGTACAGCTCACCAATGTCTTCAAGAGTGATTGTGTGGGATTTATTCATCAATGTTAATTGCCTTTTTCAATTGTAACTCTTGGTTAGAGGCAGAAAGAAAACTTTGATTTTCATAATGATTGCTATTTTGCTTCAACTATTACATTGCCCAAATTAGTATCCCAAACCATTCAAGCCATAAGAGCGATTCATCATTTCAGTTTAAAAATGGCCTATAGATTTTTGACATTATTCCTTTTGGTTGTGCCAAATAATTTGATACTAAATTCTCGAAGATTTATTTATTAAATTGATTTGTTGACCATCAATTATCAAGTGACTCTGAAAAGATAATGCAGGGATAAGTTCCAATTCCTAACTACTACTTTATCCAGTTCTGCATTAATCCAGTATTCAATCTTGTTCTTACCATGTTGCCTGGTATTGGTATAACAATCATTTATCTCATAAAAGTTGTAATTTCTCAATAATTTTAATTAAGTTAATCCATTTTGATTCTCCCACTTGAAAAAACAAAAGCATTAGCTGTGCTAGAGGGGAAATGAGACTAAAACCCACATTAAATTGTCCTCTGTCAATACAAAGGTCTAATCCCATCTTTTATTCAAGGCAGTTTAAAACCATTGCTTTTTTTTGCCCTTCTTATGTTTCAAAGGAGTCTTTACACTATATATTTTTTTGGTTTTGGTTGGCATCTCTTCTCTGAAAACTTTGGCTCTTCCTGCTTACAGTAAGAGCTAATGATGGTGGGCTCTATTTGTGTTGATATAGAAATTATATTGCAATTATTTTATTTGAATTAATATATTGATTTCACCTGTCTAACTAATTAGATCAGCATTACATTAAACACCCTTTAACTATGATCATAAATAATTGATTAATTCAACTTTGGTTACCTTTTAATAAATAGTATGAAAATCTAGCTGTCTACCATATCTATTGCAACTATGAATTTCTGTCTTTTCTTATCATCACTGTACTTTTCCTGTTTTTCTTTCCCTCCCTCAAGGAACTAAAAGTATCAGAAAAACTGCGTATTATGTGTCATCTATGGATTAAATGCCTGGCAACTTGGATATTACTGAAGAGATTTAATGGAGTTCATGTTATGCAGACCAAAGCTCCAATGTATCCTAACGAACCTTTCCTTGTGTTCTGGAATGCACCTACTACCCAATGTCAGCTGCGTTATAAAGTGGATTTAGATCTCAAGACTTATCACATTGTACCAAATGCCAATGAGACTTTAAGTGGGTCTGCTGTGACAATATTTTATCCTACCCAGTTGGGGGTCTATCCCCATATTGATGACCATGGGCATTTCCTCCATGGGATTATACCGCAAAATGAAAGCCTCACCAAACATCTCAGAAAAACAAAATTGGATATCGACCGAATGATCCCACTGAAGAAATTTCATGGACTTGGAGTCATTGACTGGGAAAACTGGAGACCCCAGTGGGATAGAAACTGGGGTAGTAAAAATGTTTACAGAAACAGATCTATTCAATTTGCTAGAGAGTTGCATCCAGAGTTGTCTGAAGCTGCAATCAAGAGATTAGCTAAGCAAGAATATGAAAAAGCTGGGAAGAGTTTCATGAGAGAGACACTTTTAGTAGCTGAAAATATGCGACCAGATGGATATTGGGGCTACTATCTATATCCAGATTGCTATAATTATGATTATAAGAAAAAACCTGACCAATACACAGGCAAATGTCCAAATATTGAAATTTCACGGAATGATCAACTACTTTGGCTTTGGAGAGACAGTACTGCCCTTTTCCCTTCTATATATCTTGAAATCATATTGAAATCAAGTGCCAATGCTTTGAAATTTGTGCACCATCGCCTTAAGGAATCAATGCGCATTGCTTCCATGGCTAGGAAAGATTATGCCTTGCCTGTTTTTGTATATGCCAGGCCATTTTATGCATATACCTTTGAACCTTTAACAGAGGTAAGGTATTGGGGTGTATGAATCTCAGAATCAATGTCTGTTGACAGCTTACACTACATATTTATTAGAACTCCATCCGGTTCATACCCATTAGCATGTTTTATTTTCTCCTTTTGAACACTGGCATAGGAGAAGTCCAACATGGGTAAATTTGTTGCATGTCAGATTCTACATGTAACCAGGAATCATGACTGGTTAGAATCCTTAATTTTAAAGGATCCTAAGTAAACAGAGTAGGTCTATTTTACATCATTATCAACCACATGATCATGGGAAAGGAATAGTTCAATTCAATTCAATTCAAATCTTTATTGTCAGTGCACAACATATTACAATGAGATTGGTTGAGCTCCCTCAGTGCACCCCCCCAACACAATACAACTTACAGTAAAGACAGAAAATCCCTAACCCAATAAATCATATTAACAAAACACCCAATCCTATTGCACCAGTCAGCAGGTAAAATCCCACATCCCTCAGGTGTTCCTTGAACTGCATGCATGTATACGTTGACAATTGGAATGTTACTCTATGATACAAATCTGAATATGCATAATGTCCAACCTATTTTCATAATTCAATGTACTATCTTAGGCTTGAATTACATATTGGCAAGGCTGATCTTAAATAGTTTATGTCTGTTACATAGCAGCTGAGCCAGTGGTGGGTTCCTCCCGGTTCCGCCCGGTTCCGCCGAGCTGGTAGCGGTGATGATATGACTATGACATCACCGAACCGGTTCTGCCCCCCCCTGCCCCCCGCCTCCCGCCCCCTCTGCATTATTCTTACCTCTTATTTGGCCCCACCCCAATCTATTGCTGCCTCCTGAGTCCCAGCTGATCGGCTAGAGGGAAAAAAACTGTTTAAACTCTTGCCACGGGGCTTCAAAGGGCCCTACAGCTGATCAGTGTTAAAAGAAAACAAATGAGTAGACCGGTGCCTGCAAAAATAAATTGGTAGACCGGTACAGCTCTGCAAGTAGTTAAAAGCCTGGTAGACCAGTACCTCTGCTAAATCCTAAAGAATTGTCACATGACCATCAAGCCTCGCCCACAAAATAAGCCATGCCCACAGAACCGGTAGTAAAACATTTTAGAACCCACCCCTGAGCTGAACCCTGCATAGACTATAGTGGCATTTCCCTCCTTCTTTTCCTTCTAGTAACATTTTATTTTATTAGCAAAAACCTCAGTAGCAATCATTTTAAGAGTCCCAATACCACATTTCAAAATTACTAATGCACTTACTGGTTCAGGAATCAGATATTTTTGGAGATACACTCTCAGCAGAGAATTATAGGCAATTTTCTAAACACAGCATTTGAATGTAAAGGAATCTCCAACATACTATAGTATAAAGTCCACATATTTAACATATTGTAACTCAGGAGGGTCCTAATTTGGCAACTTCTTGGCTGGGGAATTCTGGGAGTTGAAGTGGACAAGTCTTAAAGTTGCCAAGTTAGGACAAAACTTGGCTTGATAAGCTGAAAAAGTCTCATACCCAAGAAACCACACAATATTTTTTTTACTGGGAGGATGCATCCTTGTTGACTTTTAGCCAGGCATTTGATAGCGCTAGCTAAAATTTAGGGTGCTAAATTTTCTTGCAGTTGGGCCAAACAGGTCTTCTGTTTAAACAGTTTTTAATCACAAATACACCCCCCTCCCCAAATAAGCGGTAGGGGGAATGACTGTTTATTATCAGTGTGTGGTGTTCTATTAAAATATCCCTATTCATTGCCTTACTTTCCAGGAAGACTTGGTGACTACAATTGGTGAAACAGCGGCCATGGGGGCAGCAGGAATGGTCTTTTGGGGAAGCATGCAATATGCCAGTACCATTGTAAGTTAGTGTGGGTGACCAAAATGCCCATAAGCCATATTCATTAGAATTCTTGAGATCCCCTCCCTTCCTTTTATGTCAACATTTACAGCTTGTAATAAGCGGTCCAGGAATTGATATAGAGTTAGGGATTCTTAGGGGATTATCAACCATGTTCACCCAATCACAGGGTGAAAACATCTTATTAAATACAATAACTATCTTCAATTTCTGCAATAATATTCAGAAAGCAATTAATGGAATGAAAAGATTTGTAGCATCATTATTCTAATGTCTTCACTGGCACAGAAAAATAAATATGGAAACTACCCAAGTGTACCTTACCTAAGAAATCACATTACTTTTCTGCCCTTTGTTAGTAATGAATGGACAATTGGATAACATGTTACTTGTGACACCAGTCCTAAAAACTGATCATTTCTCTTTTATTAACTGAAGCAGTTGATAAAAAGGATAAACTTTCTGCCACCCCTCCAAAAATATATTCTCAGAGATAAGAGTAATAAACAGGAGCAGTCTGTAGTATTTGGAGGAAGGAGAAAGAAGACATGGTGCTTAAGGTCACTCTTTTAACTTATTCAAGAGCATTGGTTTCCCTGTGCTATTAGCAGTGAAAGACCAATGGTCTGCAGTAGAAAAGGCATCAAAGTTATTGCCTGCACAATTATTTTTATGATGAGAATGTTCCTATGGCTATTCACACACCAGTATGTGTATTGGTAATATGGCTCTGTGACCTCATGGGGGAGCCCAGAAGAACATGCAGCTGTGGGGCTGGTTGGTGCTCTGAGACCTTTCCTTTCACCTTTTAAACAGGGTTTAATCATCTTTGTTTCCTTTTAAATTTTCCTCTCTGAGTTCCTCTCTGAGGGAGATGGATGATTCAAAAATGTGATGAATAAATAAATATGTATGTATGTATGTATGTATGTATGTATGTATGTATGTATGTATATATGTATGTATATGAATTTAATGAAATGTTTATCTGTAGCCTGATTGTAGTTTTCTACAATCTTTAGCCCGGAAAAATAGATGTGGCTTTCTGGATACAAAAGCTATTTAAATGGCATTAATGATAAAAGAAAGTTGTAATGAATCTAATTTCAAATAAAGATATAATTAAATGGACATGGAACTCTTGGTAGCTATATCACATATATATATATATAATATCAAAACCAGTGATGGGTTGCTACCAGTTCGCACTGGATTGGGCCAACTGGTAGCGGCGGTGGCGGGAAGCTCTGCCCACTCACCCAGACGCTTCTGCACATGTGCAGAAGTGTTGTGTGTGTGCGCGAGCACGCACACACAAGCAAACCAGTAGCGGCAGGTTTTGAAACCCACCGCTGATCAAAACCAGTTATCATTCTACTAAAGTCATTGTCTTATAGGTGGCCTCCTATAGTTTAGTGGCTACAGAAAGAAATATAAATCTCAGGCTGTAAAATGTTTACAGTTCTACTACATGCAATCATTTTCTGCATATGTATTTCTGCTTATAAATTTATATCCCAACAGTTATCAAACTTTGCCATTGCCTCTTTTTTTTGGTCAGTTTTTGAATGCAAGGAGAAAGGAGCTGGTTCCCCTTGGAAAGAAATGGGTGGGTGGAAGTGGATCTTGACTGGCACTACCAAAATCCAGCCACAGATGTTTTCTGTTTTTCAAGCTTTGCTTTTCCAATACTTAGTTCCAAGGGGTTTAGAATTTAATAATAGTAAAGTAAGACTAACTTTTCAGGATTGTTTTGAATATGACAGAATGCTTTTTGGATCTTCTGAACAATTATCAATGGAGGTCTTAAGTTTTGAAGTATGCCCAATTCTCTGGATATAAGCTCCAGTGAATTCAATTGGACTAATTCCTGAGTAGATATATTTTATATTCTATAGTAATGCAAAAATCAATTATCATTCTTTGTTTTATTTTAGGAAACCTGTCAAAAAGTGAAAGAGTACATGAATGGTCCATTCGGACATTATATCATTAATGTGACTTCTGCAGCCAAGATTTGTAGCCATGTCCTTTGCAAGAAAAAGGGAAGATGTGTTCGTAAACATAATGATTCAAATGCCTTTTTGCACTTGTTTCCTGAAAGTTTTAGGATCATGGTGCATGCCAATGCAACAGAGAGGAAAGTGACTGTGAAAGGAAAACTGGAGTTGGAGAATTTGAGGTACTTAAGAAATAAATTTAAGTGTCAGTGTTACCAACACTGGAAAGGACTATATTGTGAAGATCATTCTATAAAAGAAGGAAATTAAATATAAGGAAATTAAATGCAGTGAAGAGTCTTTTATTTACTCCCAAACAAAAGAAAATTGTCACACAGATCACAAGACAAAGATATCCAACTTTGGAGGGTGGAACTGGCGTTGCGACAGTATGACGGGTGATCTTGAAGCTCCAAGATTGCTGTCGATATCTTCGTCGCTGGACAGTCCATTTTCGGACCTCATAATCCCATAGAGATAGTGGAGGGCACATTCTGTTGATTCCAGGGATACCACAAAGTCCCTGATTGATCCAGGAGAAGCCCTTTTTTTCCGGTGACGAAGAGGCAACCATAGAAGCTGCTGAAATTGGGATAGCTCTGGAATGAAAGAGATTGAGTGAAAGTGTGTCAGCTTGGTGAGAGAACTTTTAAATAGATTATTTGAGAGAACACCCTGAGGTTTTAAGGAAGTCAAAATTGAAGACAGAAGAAGAGGAGGTGGCGGTATTAAGCTTGAGTCGAAGGTAGTTTTGCTTATTTTTCGACTTATTTTTATGTGTGGATGCTTAAGGACAATTTTATTTTGTAACTCAGACTGGACTGGATTGGATTGGAGATTTCCGTTTTATCTATTCAAATAATAACTTTTTAATGCCTTTTTAGTATAAATCTTTTATTTGTTTTCTTTTTATCTATTTTTCTCTTTCTCTCCATTTATATTTTATGGTGGATTGAACAACAAGAAGGCAGGGAAGGTGGAGAAAATAAGTAGCACTGCCATCTAGTGGATTGGAAACATTGTTACCTTTTTTTTCTCTTTGGCTTAAGAAAGTAACAACTGTGTTATTCTTCAAGGACTCTGAGCCTAATCATAGATAAGATAGTGGGAAGAGCATCAAAGACAGCCTGCAGGATTGTTTATTCAGATGCTCTTCTGGGAAACTGTCAGTGGCAGGAGTCTGAGATTGAAAAGAAGAAGATTACAGTGACTCTGGAAAGAGAGCTGTAAATATATATTTGAGATTCAACAAAAGAATTTGTTTCTCTTTTCTTTTCTTTTTTTGGTGCTACTTCTCCACTCTCCCTTTATTAAATTACATTTAACCGGACTGTGATTTTTTTTGAAGGACTTCTAATTTTTCACATACATATCGATTTTTTCCTAGTGTTTGGCTCTTCTTTTCTTTTTTGGCATTTTTCTGTTCTTGTTAAATTGGATTAAGGCATACAAGAGCTTGAAGACCTTTTCTACTCCCTTTTTCCCCTCTTCCTTTTTTTTGTGGTTTTTGTGGTCTTTTTTTTTTTGCTTTTTGCTTTTCTTTTGCTTACTGGTACCTGGGGTAATATCTGTCCTATATATAAGTGGATTAAAGTATAGAAAAACCTGAAGATTTTCTATTTGTTTGATCCTTTCACAAGCACCTTACAGAAATGAGTAGAAAGGCAACAGCTATTGGTTCATCTACATCGACTCCTCCCTCCTCACTGTCTGGAGAACAACGATAAATACAGACAATACAGGAGAAGGAAAAAGAACGAGAGAAGGAAAAGGAAGTGACACTGCATATGATTTGGCAAGGAATTCAAAAAGTACACACAAGAGTAGAGAATATTGAACAGAGAACAGAAAAATCAGATGAAAAGGTGGAGAACATACAGCAAATGACAAAGAAATATGACAATAGACTCCAAAACGGTCACTCATGCCCTCGTCACCTCCCGCCTGGACTATTGTAATGCTCTCTACATGGGGCTCCCCTTGAGGAGCACCCGGAGGCTCCAACTGGCGCAGAGTGCGGCCGCGCGGGTGGTAATGGGAGCGTCATGGCGCTCCCATGTGACACCTCTCCTGCGCGAGCTGCACTGGCTCCCGGTGGTCTTCCGGGTGCGCTTCAAGGTTTTGGTTACCACCTTTAAAGCGCTCCATGGCTTAGGGCCTGGTTATCTATGGGACCGCCTACTATCACCAATAGCCTCCCACCGGCCAGTACGCTCTCATAGAGAGGGACTCCTCCGGGTGCCGTCAGCCAAACAATGTCGGCTGGCGACCCCTAGGGGGAGAGCCTTCTCTGTGGGGGCACCTACCGTCTGGAATGAGCTCCCCCCAGAGATACGGAGGATCCCGGATCTGCGCACCTTCCGCCGCGCTGTGAAGACTCTTTTATTCCATCAAGCAGGCTTGGCCTAATTTCCTCCCTCTTTTAATATATAAATTTTAAATCTGTTCTTAAATTATTGGGGTGTTTTAATTTGTCTGGGCCAAAATGATTTAATTTGATTTTAACTGGTTTTTTAAATTTTTGTATTTATGTATTTTATTGCTTGGCTGTTCACCGCCCTGAGTCCTTCGGGAGTAGGGCGGTATACAAATCAAATAAAACTAAACTAAAAACTAAACAAAAGATTGAGGAAAAAGAAGAACAAAGAGACAAAAAAATCAGTGACATTGACAGTAGATTGAACGAGGTTGAATAAGATAAAAGTGGAATATTGGGATGGGAGATGGATAGAGCAGAATTTTACCTCAGATTCCAAAATATAGAAGAAGAAAAGGGTGAAAACTTGGCAGAAATAATGATAGAAATCCTAGCAGAAGCATTAGAAATTACTAAAGAAAAGATGATGGATGGCATAGATGAGATATTTCGAGTCTATATAAGATATGCAATGAGAAACAAGCTACCAAGAGAAGTCCATATAAGATTCACCAAGAAATTGATTAAAATGCAAATATTGCAGATTACTAGAGAGAAAACATTGAAATATAAAGATAAGGAAATTGTGGTTCTGAAGCAAATACCGAGAAGAGTGAGGGAGATGAGAAGAGAATATCACTTCTTGACCAAAATATTACTTCAGAAATGTGTGAACTACAGATGGTTGATAACAGAAGGCCTGGTGTTTACACGGCAACAACAAAAATACAGAATATATTCAATCGATAAAGCAAAAGCCTTCTACGTAGAACACATCAGAGAGAAAGAAGTGGAGATAAGAAGAGAAGAATCTTTGTTTGAATTACAAGAGGAATGCCTAGCAATGATAGAAAAAGAAGAAGGAACAGTGGATGAAAATGTGGAATATAAAGAGCAATAAACCCTTCTTATAAAATATAAACATGGAAGAGAAAAAACTGATTACAATAAACATAAACGGACTTAATATAGCTACTAAAAGAAGAAAGACATTTCATAAATTAGAGAAATTAAAGTTTGTTATAATCTGTCTACAAGAGGTGCATATTAAAAAGCAACATGAACAAATATTGGCACAGCCAAAATTAGGGAAAATATTCATTTCATTACCACAATGTAAGAAAAGAGGAGTTGTTCTATATATTAGAGATACAATCCCAGCGCAGCAAATCTATACAGATGAAGATGGAAGAATTTTGATGGTGGAAATAACAGATAACAATATGAAAATACTTTTAATAGCAATATATGCATCTAATGATAATCAACAAGATTTTTATAGAAAATTACATATGAAAATAATTGAACTGGATTATGATAATATTTGCATGATGGGAGACTTCAATGGTATAGTGGATGAGAAATTAGATTATAACACACAGAAGACGATAAAGCAAAGTAGAAAGATTCTTCTGAAATCCTTTTTTAAAATGATAGAGGAAATAAACTTAAAAGATGTATGGAGAGAAAGAAATTTTAAAAAACAGACAATATACTTTTTATTCAAATAGACATTCATCATGGTCCAGAATAGATATGATATGGATGACAAGGGAATTGACTTCTAATATAGAAGAAATTGATACAGAAGCAAATACCTGGGCATATCATAATCCAATGACAATGAAATGGAAAGGGCAAAGGAGAAGATCTAGATGGACTCTAAATAATACAGTATTAAAAGAAAAGGATTTTGTACAGAAAATGGAGAAAGAATTGGCCTTCTTTTTTTTAAAGAAAATAGAAAAGAGGATACATCAATGCAAAACCTTTGGGATACAATGAAATTGTATGCTAGAGGTTTGATTATAGACTATAAAAGGAAAAGAAATAGTAAGAAAAGACAAGCATATAAAACATTAGCGGATGAGTACAAGAAACTTGAAAAAGAATTACAGAAATATCCACAAAAAAAGGACATTAAAATAAAAATGGACACAATTAAACATAAAATGGGGCTAATAGAAAAAGAGGACCTGGCACAAAAAATTAGAAGTGCTAAACAGAACTATTTTGAAGATGCAAATAAACCAGGTAGATGGTTAGCATACAAATTGAAAAAAGAGAGATAATCAAGGAAAATAATACAACTGGATGACCAAGGACAAACTAGATATGGAAATAAAGAGAAGAAAAAAATTATACAAGATTATTATAGAAAACTGTATGAGCAAGAGAACATAGATGAGGAAAGTGTTAAATAATACCTGCAGAAGGTGAATCTACCCCAGATTTCTAAAGACACTGAAATGATGTTAGAAGGAAATATAACGATGATGGAACTAACTGAAGCACTTAAAAAACAAAAGAATGGGAAGGCACCAGGCCCGGATGGATTGTCAGCAGAATACTATAAGACACTACAGGAATCACTGAATCTCCCATTGTTAGAAGTCATGAATGAAGTCATGTTAACGATGAAATTACCCAAGTCATGGTTAGAAGCATATATTACACTTATTCCAAAGGAGGACACCGACCCACAACAAATCAAGAATTATAGGCCTATTTCTCTGCTAAATTCAAACTACAAAATCTTCACTTCAATATTATATTATATTATATTCTTCAATATAAAGAAAATAACTATAATAAACTTAAGGAACAGATAGTGATAGATTTGGCAAAGTGGGAAAATTTACAACTGTCATTGATAGGGAGGATATCAATGATTAAGATGAATATATTGCCTAAAATTCTATATTTGTTCCAGACAATTCCAATTAGTTTGGGGAAAGATTATTTTGAAGATTTGAATAAAATAGTGATGAAATATATTTGTCAGGATAAAATAGCAATGATAAAACTAAAGTTGTTGCAAGACTCTAGAATGCGAGGAGGTTTTGGTTTGCCTAATTGGGAGCTATATT